TGTAAAACCTTTACTGAAAGTAAAGATCTTAGTGTATAGAGTTGCTGTCTAATAGTTAAGTGGGACTGAGGGTGTGGCTCAGTGGTAGAGGGCTTGTTTAGCATTTAGCCTTGGGTTTCATCCCCGGCACAGCCAACAAACGGTAATGTGATTCTGGTCAAAGAAAATCTGTTCTATCTCAGGAGAATATATGAAAGATGGCTACTGAGAGATTCTTAAAATTAGCAAAGAATGTTGCTTGCTGCATCAGATGTTTAATATATTCAGTAGACGGGAAAATTCATAAAAACAAAGTAAAAGAAGAAAAGTATGCCTGCCACCATACTATACTCAAACTCTTTCCTTACCAATTAAAGGCTATCACCTTAGACTTCAAATTGTTCTAGAAAAATGTTGTATGCCTTTACATTATTTTACTAGGAATTTTGTTAGAATAGGTCTCTGTTAACTCATCTTTACTGGAATTCTTATACATGAAAAGTAAGTAGGTCAATCCACTATCCACCATTATGAAAAGACAATGTGAACTTTGCTTAAATAATTCAGAATTCTTAGGAGACTCATAAATCAACACCATTTCTTCATGAAAGAAATCTGTACACATTCTAAAGTAAATGCAGTTGCATTTATTATTCTTAGTAGTGACTTAGCTTATATTCTCCCAGGGTAACTGTTGCAAAACCATTTAAAATACTGTTTCATGTAAATATGGCTCTTTAATCACTATTTGCCTCTGCCTGAGCAAAATAGTGAAGCCTTATCTCAAAATAATGATGATGATGATGATAATAATAATACAAAACATTTACATGGTTTATTTGAATTAGCTCATATGTACAAGTTTAGAATTAAAATATAGCATCTAGAGAAAATTTAATTTTCTCAGATAAAATTTTTAAAAATATTTTTAGTTGTAGATGGATACAGTATCTTATTTTATTTACTTATTTTTTTATGCCGTGCTGAGAATTGAACCTAGAGTCTCACATGTCCTAGGCAAGCACTCTACCAATGAGCCCTAACCCCAGCCCCCTCAGATGAAATTTTAATTTGGACAAATTCTACTTCCTCCTTTGTTCATGGACTTTTTTTTTTTTTTCTTCCAGTTTTCTAACCTATGTATTTATTGTACTGGGGGTTGAATCCAAGGATGCTTTACCACTGAGCTATATCCCCACCCCTTTTTATTTTTGAGGACAAGGTCTCACTAAGTTGCTTAGGGCCTAAGTTACTAAGTCTGGTCTGAACTTGTGATCCTCTTGCCTCAGCCTCTTAAGAGTCACTTGGATCACAGGTGTGCACCATCTCACCTGGCTCTGCTCTTTTTAAATTCATCTTTCTTGTTATATTTATTGATTATATAGGACTTAAAATGTTACTTTTTCAGTTAAAAATTTTTACCAAGATTGTTGAATTTTCATCCCATAAGTAATATTCTCCATGCTTTTAATGATATTAATAGCTGTTAGAGAAAAGTGCTCAATGGCAGCAGAAGTAGCAGATTTCCAAGCAATTTTGTGTTCCAGAATTTTTTTTAAATGTATTGCCTTAGACTAGCTGATATATTATCTGTATATCCAGGGGATATGGCACATTGAGAAGAAGGGGAAGCATTCTTGGGTTAATACTTATTTGAAACTAAATATTATCACCATATAAGAATGTATATAAAGATGTTTGTATGATCAGCTAAAACTAACTTAGAAGGAATATACTGAGTAAATTGATGTTACCCTTCCCCTCTAAAATTTAAAAAATCTTAAGGTCATCATGTTGAACATTCAACGAGTAAGTGTTGAGTGACCTGCTTGCTTATGGGGTATAACTCACATTATAGGTTAATTATGGGATATAACCCACATTAGACTTTAGCCAAAAAAAAAAAAAAAAAAGTTTAGGTAGTTCCCAGAGCAATTAGGATAATAGCAACCTAACCTTTGTCTACCAGTATTGTGAGCTGATAGCATACTAGCAGGCTTGAATTAATTTGTAATGGAAATTGACATAGAATTTAATTGATTATGCACTCTAAAACTGTTCAATTTTAATTCAATTTAAATTATTTTATGAAAATGTTATTGTTTATTTTAAGTAATATTTTTAAGGATTAGTTAAAAGAGAAAAAAATAAGTGTGTATATAGACATTTACTTCTGCTTGAGTCTCCATCAATATCATGGACCAGTGTGGATTCCTCATTGTTTTCAACAAAAATGTATATGGTCATAGTTATAAATCTTTTTGCCTCTGTTGCATGTGTCACTCCAGGAAAGCATTAAGAAAGCCTAGGTCCCCTGAGTAAAATGAATAGGAAATGCAAAGGTATTTTATTTTCATTGGTCACTAAAAACTTTTAATAATGATTAGTCAGATATGCAGGGTTTGTTTTGAAATACTCCAAGGGAGGCGGGAAGGCAGAGGAAATGAATGACAAAAAGTTCTCTTTACTCTTAATTTGTTGGAAATTTTTCACTGAAAGTTTTTTAAAAATGCTAAAATAGAACTTGTCCAAATTCAGTTAATTTTATCTTATTTTTTTCTGCTATTTATCTTGATTTATGTTTACTGAAAACAGATTATTCTATCCTTGAATATTTTGAAACCTAAGAAGTTTTCTACTCAAATCTTTGAATACAGATAGGCACACAAAGCCTGTTTCCAGGATCCTGAAGCATTGGTAAATCTTGTTTATTATCAAACAAGAGATAATATTTTGAATGGGAATGTCCTTTGCCATTGGATAATGCCAAAATTAAGGGTCCCTTCAGTATAAAAAATGAAACTAGGTTCAAAGCATGAGACTTATCAGTAGAAATATTTTTCCCCTGGAGCCCACTTGACGGGGAAG